AAAAAAAAAAGATGCACAACAAGAAATACGGCAACAGCAGTGAAAAATGCAGTTGACATAAAAGGCACTCACGGAGAACAGACAGACAGACAGTCAGACAATCGGACAGACAGACCGCCAGATAGACAGACAAACAGTTAACTAGATGGCACAGCAYTCGGATGGGATGGCAGCACGAAGCATCTTGACGAATTACTTGACAGCAACTGAGCCACTGAGACGCAGTCCACGAAAATTTCATTTGACCAAAAGCCTTAACGTATCAGGTTGCCATTTATTACGTGGCCGTTGCAGCCGCTGACGGTTGCAACAATTAAAATGCGATTTGCAGTCAGCCGTAATTGGGGCAATATCATATTTATAGCTCGCAATTAAATGAACACAATGCAGACGCCATTTCCTTCCAGTTATTGTTGCTATTATTAGCCATGCCTCCAGCTTCTGATATCTTTGTTATCTATCTAGCTATCTATAGACATTGTAAGTGCCCGGCATATCGTGTGATATTCATTTGTCGTGCAGTCTCTATGTCTGTCCAGCTGATAAACTTCCAGATAAAAATTCATGTTCAGGTAATTATTTGCTTAGGGCTTGGATAGGTTTTGCTATTAAAGCATATGCCGCAAAGTATACAATTTGATATATGCAACTATTAAGAGTATTGGAAGTGTATTGAAATATTTTCCTTATTTTCAACCCACTTACATACTGGTTCTATGCTGTCTGTCCGCCATATCTGTCCGGTAATCAAATGTATAAAAATTATTTAATATATGTATGTATACAAATTATTTAATATTTTCTGAAGGTAATGGAAGATAATACGCACAGAACAAACAGCTTAAGGCCAGAAAGAGCGAAGAAAGAGAGAAAGAGGGAATGAGGTTAGCTCTATCTTGATATGGTACCGCTTTTACTGCTTTGGTCAACCTTTGCATTCAGTCTGCCATTTTTTTCAGCTACGGTCACCTTTGCATATTCCATCTCCCATATTTGGCAGCTGGCGCTCTAGCTCTCTTTCTTTGGCCTCGCCCCCCTCCGCCTCCATATGCAAAACAATCGTCTGGCAGATTGTCAACCTCAATGTAAACATGTTTTTGCAGGCAAAGTAAAATATTTGCGGATATAGCGCAAAGTATGCAACGAACGCGACTGAAACATCAATTCAGATTGGTCCACAGATGCAGCTGGGACAGCCACGGCATAAAAATGAAAGTAAACAGTCGACTAATCACGGCGAACGAAATGAGGAAAAACAATGCCTTGATTTTGCAGCCAGTTTGACGTGTTTGATGGGAAAATGTTTTTTGATGTGTAAATGGTATAATATGTAGCAAGCTCGAACAAAATTCAAACCAAATTCAAGGAGTTAGCCCCCAACGCACTCAGACAGAGACAGAGACAGAGACACACAGAGAGTGACAGAGAGAGCGCGTGAGGGGGAAATAGAAATAGAGAGAGAGAGAGAGAGTGGTATAGACATCTTATCAAGATCCATTCAGATATCCATTCAGTTATGGAACGACTCTCGTTCTCAGCACTAACCATGGCCATACTGCTGCACTCGGTCATGGGCATCTCGTATTACTTTCTGCTGGCCCGCTGCTCCCCGGCGCCCCTACTCGGCAGCTGGCTGTTCGTGGCGAGCATTGGGGCCGTACTGCAGGTGGTGCGCATATTTCCGCACTGGTGCCGCAACTGTTCGTCTCTGTGCCGCCTCACCCTCGAGATGGGCATCTGCCTGCTGACGCTGGACCTGATGCTGACCAAGCTGTGGTGTCGCATCGAAGCGCTCTGCCACTGTGCAATCATCGGCATACTGCAGCAGCTAGTCACCGAGGAGTACACCTTCGAGAGCTGCGAGTACTGGCTGCTGGGCATCACCACCAGCATCATCGGTGCCTGCCTGCTCTGGCTCACGTTGTGGGCCACCGCGCTGCCTGCCCGACTGCGCCTGGACTACATCAACTGGCAGACGAACGTCTCACGTTCCGTCAAAAGCAATATTTGCCACTTGGCCTTCGGCCCATCGAGCATGCGACGCAGCACGGCGATTCAGTGCCAAGACAGCATGCAGAGCTTTGCCAGCTGAGCTGGGCGTATCGCTTCTGTTCTGGCAATAGACATGCAAATAAGTGTGCCCAGAGTTGGCTAACCGCACACCCGGATTGCAAAACCAAAATTTTACTAGAAATTAAATAAAGAGTGCAAACAGAGATTCCATTTGTTATCCATACTCTTCTATAAAAAGCAGAGATTTGCTAGGTATAATATTTATGCTTTAAAGTGCTGCGATTTGCTGTCTATACTATTATTCATTAAAGGGAAAAGATTTGTTTTGAGTGGGTTCCATTAATATACCACATTATCACTGATGGGCTGAAGCTATAAAATTGTTGTAAGGAATCGAAAAATGAAAATTCCTTAACACACTACTTGTTCATCAATTTAAAATGACCAACAGATTACGATCTATCACAAATACGTCGTAATGGAGAATCTGCAAATCGGCTTGAGAGTCAGAGAGATAAGGTTTTTCAATCCCAGAGAGTCGAGTAGGCAGCCATCGTAGCGGCTTGATGAACAGCGGCTTGATAAAAACCTCTCAAAAGACTCTATAGCATCTTGAAGAGCAATATTTTGAAAACATATAAAAGCGCGCTAGGAAATCAAGTTCTGGGCCTTCCCATCGTCTTTGAGATGAGAGAGGGAGGTTGGAAGTCAGAGAAGAAGAGAGGAAGAGAGAGAGAGAGAGAGAGAGAGGACGAGAGAGAGAGATAGAGAGAGAGAGTGTGAGAGGATGTGTGTGAGAGAAAGAGAGAGAGAGAGAGAGAGAGAGAGAAGCCGAGAAAGAGGCAGAGACAGAGAGAGAGAGAGGGAACAAATTCCAATGACTGCAGTTCAATCGAGTCTTAGCTCACAGCTGTCTACAGGTCATCGTTTATGGATGATCCACATATTGATTGTACTCAAGTCAAATGAACCTAATGATATATGATCTCTTTATTGGACCTATATATTCAGAAGCCGGTACGGCCAATAAGAGGGCTATTGACCAATAATAGTTCACTAGCTGGACAACATTCATAGGTACAACTCTTTATAAATGACGTGCAAAGGTGCGAGCGAATTTATAGTGTTACAGTGTATTATAGTAGGGCTGCTACAACCATCAGGTTACTAGTGTAGGCACCAATATATATTTAGTAGAGTGTGTATTTAATATCAACTACAATTAAATATTAAATAATTATATATTACAGTTATTTTGAAATCTATTCCTAACTGAAGTGAATTAGAGCCTTAGCTCGGAAGACCTGATTCACTAACACACTTGCCGAACATCTGATGTCCGATTGGGAATTATAATTCTCAATTATAGCAATTAGCTAGCCGCAATTCATTAGCTTTGAGCCACACTCAATGATTATAATATCCAAATTCAAGCTCAGAATTTTTTGCAGCTTAAACAACTAATGTAATTCTCGCATGACCTTGCCATGCTTTGTTGCTGTTGCTTAGCTGCATAGCTATTGCTATAACTGAGCAGCCAGTAAACCAAGTGGGAAAAGCTATTTTGGTTGCTTTGGCTGGCTCTAGCTTTGAGCCAACCGGTGCTCGGCTGCTGCCACAAAGAAACCCGTTTGAGCGTATCATGGCCAGGAGGCAATGCGGAAAACATCCGCAGCCAGCGCCTAATTGTGGGCTGCTGCACTTCTCTGCTCGTCGTGTTTCGGAAGACGGAACCAAAAATCAAAAGCAGTCAGAATGTCGGAGACGAGCTTGCCACACGGCCAGATACTCTGCAAATGTGTGCGGAGGTATGAGGATAAGGATTTATGGTAAGTGATTTGCTGCGATGAGATTGTCAGATGTATATATTATATATATGATATATATGTATATCTGTATAAATATTATTTTC